ATTATGTGTATATATATGAAGAACATCGTCCTGTAGAAATAGAAGAATCCATCAGCTCATCAACTTCTTTTCTCCTGAGTACTTTATTCACCATGCATTTCAAACGTCTCACCATCCCCACGGTGGCCTTCTTGGTTGCTGTGCAAGCACATCCGGGACATGACATTAAGGAAGAAATTGCTCATATTGCAAGAGCTCATGAATTCCACAAGAGAGATATCAGTAGCTGCTACTCCAAGCTCAAGGCTCGAGGTCATCATCAACGCACCACAGATAGAAGACACGAGATCCTCCAAAACGAGCGAGCCAAGCGTGGTCTTCCCACTGGTAACCTCTCATTCACACGCTAATTCTCTATCTCTCAACCCAAGCTAACTATTCCAGACACCTCCATCATCAAACTCCGCGATCTCCCCGAACTCTCCGCCCGCGACTCCGGCACCGTCCTAAACACCAGCCACCTCTCCACCACCGCCTACTCCCCCACCGACAGCTACAGCGACATCTTCACCGGCAACAATTCCTGCATTCTCGTCCCGGAAGTAACCGAAGGCCCCTTCTACGTCAGCGGGGAATACATCCGGGCCGACGTGCGCGAGAGCGCCACGCAATCGGGCATCGATCTCATTCTCGATATCCAAGTCATCGATACGGCTACCTGCGAGCCCGTCCCGGACGTGTACATCGATTTCTGGTATGCGAATAGCACGGGAACGTATAGTGGGGTGACGGATGCGTCGGTGGCGGGGAATATTAATGCGACGTTTGCGAGGGGCATTCAGGCGACGGGGGAGCAGGGCGCGACTCAGTTTACGGCGTTTTATCCAGGGCATTATCAGGGGAGGACCCAGCATATTCATGTTGCTACTCATGTTGGTGGAACGTAGGGTTTCTCTCTCTCTCTCTCTCAATCTCAGAAAAAAATCTTGGTATATGGAAAGATTGAAAGATGCTGATGATATAACACACAGAGCTTTCCCAAATGGCACATATCAAGGGTCAACAGTCTCGCACATCGGCCAACTCTTCTTCGATACCTCGCTCTCGAATCAGATCGAGGCATTGGCCCCTTACTCAACAAATCCCAATCCAGGATCAACTACTAATGCTAACGATGGAATTTTTCGTACGTCATCTATTTCTCTCCTCATTCACATTCCAAGTCCCAATTTCATTCACTCCCTTTCCCACCTCTCTCCTGTATTTCACCAAAAAAACATCTTCGCAGCTAACACCCTCCTTCTCTCCAGTCCAAGAAGCCGCCCTCGGCGACCCCGTCGTCGAATATTCTCTCCTGGGTTCAACTCTCTCTGAAGGCCTCTTCGGCTGGATCGCCTTCGGTATCGATCCTACTCGCGCTGGCTCTATCCAAGCTGCGGCCGCGTTGACATCGAATGGGGGTGTACCTGTTGCTGGCGGTGGTGGTGGACCGGGAGGACCTCCTCCTAATGGTACGTTTCCCGGGAGACCGAGACCGTCGACTAGTGGAGCGGCGACGCTGACGAGTAGTAGTGGTGTAGGGACGACGACGACTGTTTGAGGAGGATGAGGGATGAGGGGAGGGGAGAGAGGAATGGAATGGATAGGCGGGTAGGGGTTTGAAATGGAATGGAATGGTGAAGGTGGAGGTTTGAGCTAGTGACGAGGAATTGAAATGGTGATGAAAATGGGAATGGGAATGAGAGATTTTTTCGCTAAAGCAAGGAAGCATTTTTCCATTCATTTCCACACAGGCTGTGAGATACCTATCCTCTGGAACATCCATCCCATTTGGACTATTCTCGATCATCTCACTTCCTATTTCAAACACACGTTTTTGGTGATACTTTGAAAAGGGGATGGATGGGGTGTGTTAGTTGAGGTTTCGAAGTCACTCGTTTGTTTGGGGTTATGTAGGTAGTTTTTGAAATTATAACTAATGTTTCTATTACGTGTATGTTTTTATTATATATATGATTTTTGGAATGGAATGGAATGTTGTCATTATAGCTTTATATATTAGGAATCTATCTTTGGAGGTTTGTATAGAGATTATCTATGTTAAATTATTTAAAAAGAGGGTGGATTATTAAATATATTCATATAAAAAAATCTATTTCTTTCTTTATGTATTTAAAATCAGTTATCGGGGAATAAGAATCTTTTAACTACTAGTATAAATTTTTAGAATTTTTATTTTTTTTATTTTAAGAATTTTAAATTTCTTGTAATTCTTAATCTTTTGATTATTTTTTTATGATAACTTGTATTGATATAAATTCTAATTATGATAATTGAATATAGTATAATATATAAGATCAATCCTTAAATCCTTGATCTTTATTATACTTAAATTCTTATTATTCTTATTACTCTTATTTTTCTCGGAGTCTCGGTATTCTCAAAGGTCCGCAGTTTCAAATCACATGACATTCGAGTTAAAAACGTTATAATGTTAACGATCCTCCTCCACGCAGAGGTTAAATGATGTGCCTTGTCGAAATGTCTGGATCCGCTCCCTCACCGCGAAAAGGAGTTCGGACATCGATAGGAAAGGCTTGCGATGAATGTAGGCGACGTAAGACTAAGTGCAATGGTGGCTTGCCCTGTGATACTTGCAGGAAGTATGGTGGAACATGTCACTTCCGATCTTACGTTCGGCGACGAAAGAAGGGCAAAGCATCCTCTTCCCGCGAACATTGTGAACCACAGGCAGAGGAGGATGAAGGAGTCGAGAAAAACTCAGAGGTGTCTCAACAACCTCTATTACCTAGCATATTACCCGGCGACGAGCAGTATGGCGATCATATAACAGCCACCGACAACAGTTGTCTATCGTCATCACCTCAACTATATTACGGCCCTCCGTCCAATTTTGCATTTCTGCAACAAATATATCAGCAGCTCAAGTCCATTGCAAAGGCTCCTTTCAGTAGTACCAACCCTAGAGCAGATGACGGCGATACGGCTCTAGACTGGTTCGGCTATCGACGACTTTTTTTTGGGAATACGTCTTCTGATCTCATATCAAGGAGTTCAACACAGATGCTGATTGTGCCGGAACATCTTGCGAACAGCTTTGTCGACCTTTTTATATCAACTCTTGGGCCATTCTTCCCATTCATCTCACGGACGCGAATAGAGGGAATGCTTCAAACATTCTACTCTTTCCCAAACACTTCGAGCGGTAGCGCTCTAGAGCGCGGTATCCTTATGGCTATTTTAGCTTTAGGAGCGACCTTGACAGAGCACGTGCAATTAGGGGAAGATCTCTTTTTAAGAGCAAAATCTGAAATGCATACCATTGAAGATCTCGTTAATGTTCAAGCTGTTCAGCTGCCCTTGTTTTTGATAAGTTTAACTTTGTCAGATATCTTGATTTGAGTTATAGACTAACCTCCGATCACGCCCACTATCAAGCAGTAGTTGGACGTATAAATTCTGCGTATTTACATCTCGGCACCTCAGTCCGAAAAGCTCATGCGGCCGGTCTGCATAGAGCAGCCTCGTCGCTTTCAGTCTCTGAGTTTAAAGAAGAGAGAGTCGAGACATTCTGGTCTCTGTACTCATTCGAATGGTATACACTAGCCTCAAATGTATATGTGCCAATAATTTAACTTTATAGTAGTATGACATCCTTTAGTCTGGGGAGACCGGCGGCCTTGTCAGAGAATACTATATCTGTAGGCTATCCTACTAAACCATCATTCTTACGGACTTGGGTGGAAATTGCATCCTTAGCATCTACAGCAAGTCACACTGTCTACAGATCAGGTGGTATCCACTTCAAGACTAACATTGAAGCCGCTTGGGATATACATCGCAAATTACAAGCCATAAAACTCACTCTTGAAGACAAGTTGCAATTTGACTTACAATCCTCAGCTCATCCTACTCTTGAACAACTGTTCTTGTCCAATTTTCACAATCATACTCTCATCCTAACTTTTCGACCATTCTTGATCTTTCACATCAGACAGCAGACTGCTGAAAGAGTGTCGGCTTCAGAGAATATCACCCCACCGTGGCTTCTTAAAGCATGCCAAGTGGCAGTCTTTGCCGCTCAAGAGCTGATAGCTTTTGCTAGCAGAGCTGCGAAGGCGAATTCTTTAGTAAATGTAAATGCATTTCAAGCTTCTCACCCTCGATTCAGCACCTCAAGCATGCAAATCAACTTCGCTAATCATTCTAGAATTTGAGATACAACGCTTATTACATCGAGAGCGCTTGCTTTGTACTTGTCTGGGACACCTTGAGAGATAAAGATACCACAGACAAGAACTTCTATTTTATCAATACTGCCCTTTACCATCTTCGGCAGATGATACCTTCGGAAGCCATTTCATGCAGTGTTTTCGCTATTGAGCGGATGTTGTCTGCAATATCGCAACTAACATCCGAGGCTACAGCAAGTGCTCATCAAGCCAAATCTTCACACTCTGTCCTGGATATGGAAAGTCTTGACTCCGAATTATTACAACAGCCGTCAACCGATTGGATGCTGGACATCATAGAGTCGCAATTGAGTGTGGATGATGCTGCGTGGGATTTTAATTCATGGCCGCTTGATCTTGGCTTATTTGTATCTTGATTTTGGATTCGAAATTTCACGTGGGAGGTTGGGTAGATTCAGAAGTAGCGCATATTGCACTAGTGAATTTGATACATTTTCGACTTCGAGTCACAATCTTTTTCTATGCTAATCACTTTATTATCACATAACTCAAGAGTAGCATTGGTACACTTTCGCATACTGGGACACCGATGGGTGGAGAACGTATGATTAGTTGCTTTTACTCAACAGCTACCAATACACTAGCAAGCAAGGCCTAATTGATTTCCGGTCGAAAAAGATGTAAGGTTAGAGGGAAGCGAGGAACTTGATGAGGCGCGATGGAAAAAAAAAGCGGCGGTAGGTTGTTTCACATTCATGAATTTTCAACAAAGCATAACAAAAATCGCCAACTGCTCAATGATATATAAACGAAAATTTACAGCCAGTCTATCTAACATCTTCTCAGAGTTAAAGAACGGGTTCTCTTAAAAAACAAAATATACAGGCGCATACTGGGAACAGTTGAGATCCTCTTCTGTACGCAATTTTAATGACATTATGACATACAACTTGCTCCAACAGGATTTGAGTATGAGAATGAACCATTCCATCTAATCGGACGACTCATTCTAGTGACTACTCGTAGCTACTAGAAATGACGATGGATACTGACCGCCAGAATGGATGATGTGACGACCTACGTTGTAGTTGGAAAGGGTGTCTCGCAACTTCTCAAATTCGGGTCGAATCCCGTAAAATCCGCTGACCTCCAATGCCATTGATTCGTCTTTGTCGAATATCATGCCCCCTGGCCAGAGCGAGATTTGCAGCTCCACAATCTCATTCTTGCTAAGCTTCTCTTCATGGTCATGAGGATGCCAGACATAGGCATCAGAAAGAAGTTTTCGCTGACTTGAGGAAAGTCCAGGCTCAGGCAATGTAGCTCTGTGCGAGGCTCGCAACCGACCATTGGGGCCAACATACCTCCAGATATTGTCCTTTGGGATATCTTCGGGTTTTGTACCTTCAGGTAGGTCTTTGAATGGGATGTTGAAGTACTCCAATGCGTTACCCTTGGAGTCTAGCTTTCGTAACAAGACAAAAACGTCCATGTCATTGTGATCTGGAGTAGACATAAAAAGTCGCACCTTAGAGAAACCAGAAAGTTCTGTGTATTTGTCGAATTTGAATTCAAAACGGCTGAAGTTACCGCCCCTTGCTTCTGCATCATAGCTCGTGGAGCAGACTGATTCGATAGGATGCATCGATAGATGATTCGTGGCTGTATCGAGATAGAAATTCTGATACTGAAATTCTGGTGGTGGGTAAGTGGTGACTGGTCGGTTGACTACATTAGGCCTGTTGTAACCCAACAAAGACAAGCGAATTCGGGGAGTGTTTTCCCATCCATTGTTGGCAGAAATCATGAAATGATCAAAAAATCTTTGTAAGTCGTCGTTGCTGTCTGACTGATATAGATCGTGCCATTCTTGAGTAGTATGAATCCGTAACCTATGAAGACTGATTAGCACTTACTCTGGTAAGGTAGGTTACTTGCTGCTGAATTCTTGGCGTACCATTTTTCAGACGAGGATGACAAGAGATATCCACGAAAAGAACCCTCAGTATGTAGACCAGTCGAGTAACTGGCTGTAGCATACATTGGTACGTTGATTCTGCCAAGCTTGGGTTTCTTATCTTCCCAGTACCAATTCCATAGCGGATATTTATCTACCATAGCACACACATCTTCTCTTTGGTTCTTGCCACCGAAAGTAGAAAACACTTCATTCCAGAAGGCGCGATCTGGAATACCTCCCCGACAAATTGATTCGCGGTAGAAATCTCCAAGCCCTTCCCATGGCGCAATAGCCTTGAGATGAGGCGGGTTTTCGGCAGCTATGAACCTAGACAAAATTAATCAACAAGAAGTTGGTTAGAAGCAGAGGATAGACTACCATTGGGCTGCGCCGAGCCAGGAGTTCCCCGCGAGTGCGACAGATCCGTTGCACCATGGTTGAGCAGCAATCCATTCAATCGTATCATAGCCGTCACGACCCTCCTAATTTTCGATTATGTCAGTGCTACCACAGTTGATTTGTGGTAGATACACCTACTTGAGTTCCGAAGACCTGTATGTCTCCATGTGAATTGAAGGCTCCCCGAGCATCAACGTTTACAACAACATAGCCTCTTTTGCACCATTCTGCCGGATCAGGGCCCTCAAATTTTTCCAAGCCACTCGTAGCTGCTAACGGGATACCAACGCGCGAGGGGAACATATTGAGTAAAAAATGGCCTAAGTAAAATATTAGCATTCCCAGAATAGCACCCTGCATATCTGATAGAAACACTTACCACTGCCGGTCTTACCATAAGGACTCCACGGAAGCAATGCGGGCTGTGGAGAGTTGTCACTTTCCAAGGCGCGGAACACATCTCCATATAGTATCACTCCATCTCTCAGCTTGATTGGTACATCTTTCTCCCAGATCAGGTCGATCGGCAGTGGTCTTGTGCCCGTAGCTTGCGTCCAACCCTTTTTCAATATACATTTTTCAGTGGTGAAAGCGTATCTCTCGACGAAGTCGCCAGCTTTGACGAATTTGACTGGGCGATTCACTACAGAATGAGACATACTTCAAGATTGGAGTAGCAAGGAAGGGCTAAGTGAAGGCTACTAAAGGAAATGGGAGAGGATTTATATGTTATTTTCCAGCCAGCGCAAAGACCAAATGTTATTCCAAGATATGGCAACAGCCATATCTTAGGCCCACACCTCTGTGGTCTATGTAGTTCCGGTTTGTCATGCAAAAGCTTAAGATACATTCATTTAGTAACGAAAGCACCGTTGTTTCTTCTCTTGGATCGTTGAGTGGACTATGATCTACTCCGCACGGAAATGTCCGCAAAGAATTCCAAGTTTCTACACTTGTTTCACAGGGTTTGGCTGTTTTCTGGGCTATGCATATTGCATGAGGTCGATGATCCGGAAATGTTATACGGAATTACGGAATTATGGATTTCACAATGAAACTTTGTGGTATTTGATTATGATTGATGATCCGGGAATATTGAACGGAATTATGGAATTATGGAATTATAGATTTTGCTGTGAAACTTTGTAGTATGTGGTTGTAGTTGACTACTTAAAAATATTCGATGGAATTACGGAATTACGGAATTACGGAATTATAGAATTATGGATTTCGGAGTGAAACTTTGCGGTATGTGATTACAGTTGACGATCCAGAAATATTCAACAGAATTACAGAATTATGGATCTATAGATTTTGCAATAAAACTTTATAGTAATAGTCGGCTTTCAAAATTCTATGTACATGAATATCCTGAGAAATCGTACAAAAAAAGAAAGGATAAATATGACGTTGCAAATAGTAAAAACAAGGAAGAAAAGATGAGATGAGGGAGATGAAAGATGAAAGATGAAAGATGAAAATGGATACCGCGGGATTGATTTATGGGAGAAGTTATAGACTGATTACAGCAGTGGAGAATAATTAATGATGACGAAGGGAACTAGGAAAGATTTGTAGAGGAAATATTGTAATTGTAATCATGTATCCTTCGAACAGAAAGAAAGATACATAAATCCATGCTGCCGTCGCGATCTATCCTTGTCTCCAGGAACAGTGAACTCTCTCGACCCCTTTCCTTATGCAATCTCCATGTATCTTATTCTGTTCAATCTTTCAAATGTTCGTTTGCCTCGAGCTTGATCTTCTCCTCCTCCTGCTCCTCCGCTACTGGTTTCTCGCTTACTTCTCGTTTATCTTTTAGAGCCTCTGGTATTTGGCTATCACTTCCTTCGCTCTTAGTCCCAACGGTTGAACCCGCTCCCTTTCCCTCCTATTATTCCCCGCTTTTCCCCCCTTCCTCTCCTTCGGAAGTCAAGAACAGAGATTTCTCTATATCCGAATCAGATGACCAGAGTAAATTTCGCTCGTATGTGGAGAAAAAAGATTCATCACCGAGCTCAGAGACTTCAGATTCTGTGTCGCTTTCAGAATGGGAGGTTTGGCTTGCGGATGATCCCCTTCTGGCCTTTCTCTTTTCTTTCTGTGATTGCCGTTCGAGATTCTCGCGTGCATTTGCGCAATCGTGCTCAGATTCTAATGTTTTGGGATTGTTGGGCCCAAGTGTTGCTAGTCTATATGCATAAGCACTTTCAAGATAGAGCAGGGATTCGGAATGTTTTCCTTGATTTTCGAGAACGAAGGCTAATGCATCCAGATACAGGATTGTGGTACTATGATCCGATCCAAATATTCTTTGGCTGTCGCGGACCAAGTTCCGGTAAATGGCTTCAGCATCAGCATATTTCCCTGCCATTTGTAAAACACAACCAAGGGCGAAGACACTTGCCAATGTCTTTATGCGATCTTGCCCGAGAACCCTCTCTTTTATCTCGATGACTCTTCTGAAAATCCTCTCGGCTTTAGCAAGTTGTCCTCTTTCCATAAAACACCATGCAATGTTGTGTGTTTCTGTCAATACACCAGGATCTTCGGAACCATATTTTTTCCTGCGAACTTTTAGCACCTCTCGTTTTATATGAAACGATTCTTCGTATTTATTTTGATGAAGCAATGCATCTGACAACCAGCCACGAGCATTTAAAGTTTCAACGCCCTCCGGTCCATATTCCCATACACACGCTACCACCCATTGACGAGCAATCTTCTCAGATTCTCTATTTAAACCGCTATAAATGTAAAACCGCGTGAGATTTAGATAATATCGATACAACATATCTCTACTGAACGCCTTATCTTTCTTGAGTGTAATCATCAGCTCTTGAGCCTCTTCATACAAACTAAGATGGGATAGGAGCTCCTGCCGGAGAGATAAGGGCATGATGTACGTTTGATGAGAGTAGCACTGTTCGAGAACTGTTGCCACGAGATAAGCGCTGAGAACTGCGGAGCCGTAGCAAAGTTCCGAAGAAGCGCGCATGCGAATCCAGTCCTGAACCAAAGGGTGTAGAGACAGATGACAATGGTCATTCTCGTCTCTATACCAGCTTTGGATCAGGGACAGTCGAGAGAGATCATTCAAAATATCCACGAATTTTTGTTCATCCCATTTCTTGTCTTCGTCAACAAACAAGAGAAAAGGTTCATCGATCTCCATCACTTCGGTGTTTGAGGAGAGTTCTATTGTGCAATAAGTCTCGAATAATTGTTGGGATATTTTTTGATGGTCGAGAAAAGCAAACAAGGTCAGAATCCTTGACTTATATTTCTTCTCATCATCAAGCGTCTCTAGTTGTTGGTAAGAAAGTTCCCAGGTCGTAAAGACGTTCAATGCCGTTTCGTCCGCAGCCTCTCCAATCTTACGTCGATATTGTGACATTCGTGGCGTCTCCCGCAAAATTGCTTCTCGTTGGCGATTATAATTATCCATGAATTGGGATAGTGCAATCTTTTGACTTTGGATATATGATCCTGCCTGTGTAATAGCTAGTGCATGATACCCCAAACGATCAACGATCGCGTATGCGTCGTCGCGCGATGCGGTATTACTTACTCGGCTTTGTTTAATGAGAAGATCACAAGCATCATCTTTCGGGAGCCCATGTAGCTCAATGTCATGATCTTTTTCAGCTAGTAAAGCAGTATCTGCGTGTCTACTCGTGATCAAAATTCGTCCATCTTGCCCCGATGGTATGAAATCAGGCAGATGAAAACTTGATGGGTCGTCATGATTATCGAAAATGATTAGCCATGGCTCATTCCAGTCCTGAAGTCTGTTCAACACGGAGGCAACTACTTGGTCGTCTTGCGTTGAGCCAACTGGGCTTTTGATATGCTCCAGTACTGACTTGAAATCTTTCTTGACCGTGCTCTCGGATGTTGCATCAATCCAGAATACGGCTCGAATATTGTTCTTTCTTGCACGATGGCAGTACTCAAGTGCAATTTGAGTTTTACCTTGGCCTCCTAACCCTCGAAGGACAACAACACGAGACTCAGATTCAGAGGATAATCCCTTTTCGATCTTGTTCAGGATATCTTCACGCCCAATAAAGCCACTAACACGGCGATTTGGCACGATGAAGTGGTTTTTGTTAATGTTTTCTGTGGGAGCGACAAAATCCGATCGAGAATTCATCTAGGTGAGTATTAGTTGGAAGTTGTATGGAAATTTAGCAATTTGTTTGGCTACCGATATAAGTATAGACTTGACATCCGTAACATCATTTGCAACCGCGCCTACGGTCGATTTTATGTCTTTTGCATTGAGATCAACTGTTTGAAGAAGAGATCTTTGAAAATCAGCAGAGTGAATGTGTCATAGATGCGTGCTCTTACAAGTCAATCTTTTGGATATGGAGACTCAACAAGGACTTCTCTCTTTCGAGATCCGCAATCATAGAGGATATCTTTTTTTCTGATCTCACTGCTGTAAATGCTTTTCGCAATTTTACTCTTTTTGCTTCATCCGGAGTAGCAAGATAACTTTCGAGGCTGTCCTTAATGTCTTTTGCAGAATTAGAACAAGTTTTCACAACCGAATACACTTCGGAGGTTTGTAAAGAGGTATTCTTAATAACTAATGCTAGAAGATTGATGAATTGCTCGATGTGTTGTATGTGCCCACGAATCTTCTTCGGACCATTCTGCGTCTGCGTTTTGATATCGTTCAAGAATTTAATGGCATCATAGCTTTGCTGGGCGATTTGAGAGGAGGCTGCGATGGCGCCCAAAATAGATAATGGATCCATATTCAAAACACAAAATGATATGTCTTATAACATCCATACACACACACATATAGTACAAAGGAAGGAAATTTTTTGAAAAAGTATCAAATTCGAAGATTCATGAAATGCTTGAATAATACTGACATAGCTAAACTGAAAGTGGGCAGAATATAGAGATCTCCGTAATATGATAGTTCTCATATGCGCGAGCCGCAAGATGGAACAGCAAATCGTACAGGGAACCGAACCCAGCCTTGTCAGCTTGCCATTGCAGGACAATTCATAGGCCATGGTAAATTGTAGATTTTTCCCGATATATGCAAGCCAGCGGTCAGCGCGTCAACTGCACAATTCTTTGGTTGAACTAGATGGGCTATGATCTAAGCCACCGGAGAGGTTGAGTACAGAAATGCTTAGATAGAGAGCTGGCGATATTTTGGGTTGTGAGTGTTATCTTGCGTTAGATGATGAAGCAAGGGGGGCTAGGGGGTCGAGAAATGCGTATTAACGGCGATGTCTGGGCCCCAAGAAGATTCTCCATTGGAAATACCTATCAACTTTTAACTGAAGGGTCTATAGTCCAACACATTTATGGTACTAAAGCTCAATACCTATGGTCTCGTATTTGCTTTGATTGAATGGGTTCATTCCTGCATGTTCCTCGAAGAAAGGAATTCGGTCAAGATATCGTCGAATTGAAGGTAGAGTAGAACCGTGCAGCTGGCGTAATGCCTCTCACATCACGTGATAACGAGCTCTAGCGTGTATCAGTCGCGTTGACAGTCTGTGACAAAGGATCGCAAACGAAACACAAATTCAATTTGAGTCTGTTTATGCCGCCAATTGTCTTGCTTTGCTTTCTTTCATTTCAACGTAATACTTTCATATACTCTGGATTGTGCGAACACAATCGCCGGCATTTCTACCCGCATATTCCAATTCTAATCTCAATGAAATGCAGGACTTTATTGATTTGATAAGTTCGAGTCCAGAGCCAGAACTACCGAAGACTCGCGCCAAAGTCGCACCTATTGTCGCCCCCAAAGCTCCATTCAAAGATCTATCACAGAATATCTCCAGACCACCTACAGTCCAGCGCTTTGACTTCAGCTTTGCCAATTTCGATAATTTGACTAGTATTGAGACAGCGAAGGCCCCGCCACCAAATCCGCCGATACGATCTCCCAAAACAAAAGCTTCCAAGACAATACACCTTGATGATGGTAACGAGCTCCAATTGTGGTCTGATGATTTCGACACGACTATTGGTTCTGTATTGAATAGTGCATCTGCAAAACGGGATACTGGAAATTCGAAGCAACGACAAGGCGCCAATGCTCCTATCGAAATAACAGACTCAGACGACCCATTCACTTCTCCGCCACCTGCGAAACGACAGAGAGCATCATCACCAAAAGATAGAGTCCCAAGGGCCGCAGGCGGATACCACCGCACTGTTTCGAATATTGAGTCCGTCCGAACAAGTAAAGCAAGACCGCCCAAATACAGGTTGAATAGATCAAACTCTTTGGGCGCAGACCCTTTATTGTTTACAAGCTCGCCGGATGCGACCGCTGCTCGATCGAAATATGGCAAGGGAAAGGCACCTTCGACTCGATATGACGATGTCGATGATGCTGACGAAGTGGAGATACCCCGGAAGAAAGCCAGCAAGCCAATTTTTTTGGATGTCGAGGATGAAGATGACTTTCCATCCATTGAGAATCTGAAATCCTGGAATCCGCCACCAAGGCGATCGAAAGCGATTGAAGAGCCAATGCTACATCATTATGATGATTCTACACCCGAAAAGAAGAAGCGAGAGAAAGTTGATAAATCTAAAGAAAAGGCTTCGAGCGCAGCAGAAAAGAAGGCGGCAAAGGATGCTGAAAGGGAGCAAAAACGTATCGACAAAGAGTATGCCAAAGCAGAGAAGGAGCGAGAAAAAGAAAAGGCAAAGGACCTGGCTAAAGTCAACGTCGATCGTACCAAACCCGAAATTTCGACTCCGGAAATGATTGTTGATTTACCTTCATGTATTCAAGATAAAAGCCACATGGCATTGAGAACTAGAATCGATGTTTTACTGAAGGAATTGGACGTTCAACAATCTCAATGGGAGAATTCAGATCTAGTCATCAAGTGGCGTCGAAAGGTCATTTCGGAATACAATGAAGAAAGTGATATATGGGAACCCAAACCACGGCAAATCAAGGACGAAAATCACATTCTATGTATCATACCAGCCAAAAAATTCGTTGATATGGTTTTAGAAAGAGGAGATGTGGATCTAGATACTCATGTTTCTATCCTCAAATCACAATTCAAATCATGCAAGCTGATGTACCTTATTGAAGGTTTAACTGCATGGCAGAATAAGAATCGGAACATAAAAGACCGTCAGTATCAAGCTGCAGTGAGAAGTCGAATACCAGAGGATGAAGTGGCCAGTAGCAGTGCCAATCAGAGGAGAAAAGCAACACAAGCAGACGAATACATTGAAAATGCAGACAGTATCATTGAAGACTCTTTACTCAAATTGGAAGTCCTCCATAAAGTACAGCACCGTTTGAGTACCAACACACAAGATAGCGCAAAATGGGTCGCACAGTTTACCAAGCACATATCTACAATCCCGTATCTAGCCCAACGCGAAGCTCTCGGTTTGAATTTCTGTATGGCGGGTGGTCAGTTCAAATCTGGAAAAGATACCGCAGATACATATATCAAAATGTTGGAGGAGATACATCATGTTACAGAGAAGATGGCAGAGGGGATAGTAGCTGAGTATCCCACGCCCCAGGCTCTGTTGCAAGGATTTAAAGAAAATGGTTCGTCGGCATTAGAAGGATGTCGAAAATTGGCGAACAAGAATGGAGCACTTACGGATACGAAGATTGGGAAGGCAATTAGCAGGAGAGTGTACAAAATTTTCATGGAAGAGGATCCGGAGAGTTTTGACATATAGGAGTGTGTGGACTTTGGATTTTGGGGCATATGTTTGGGGTCTTGGGAAGAGGGAACGAGCGAATATTATCAATGTGTGGGGTTTTAAAGGGGGATACACAGGTCATTATCCGACAGGAGGGGTTCGGTCGGTGTCTTTTGGTGGTTCCAGAGTCTTTGGGCTCAAATTTAAAAGGAGTATTGGGGTTAATAATGTCTCGGTAGGAAGTTTACACGGTAAGGAGTATTAGATATGGTTTTGTATTTGTATCGATATTCACCACGAGTAGAAAATATTTCTTGTCTTACGATAAATGAATATTCACGCAGAACACCTCATCGTACTTCTTCACAACAGTTCTCTCTCCCAAAGATGTGTTTGTGTAATGTATGCCTGTGCGGAATAGTTATTTATCACTAAGTCCAAATGCAGCTGCAGATAATTATTTAGGAAACAATTCCATCTCTCAAGAACCCGATCACCTTATTAATTAAAAAGAAAATAAATCTACGCCATCGAAAATATTCGGTTTTAGAGCCATCTCCAGACTCGATAAAGAAAGAAAGTTATCCCTTCCCATGCATGTATCATAACTTCATCTCAATCCTCCATTTCCTAAACCGTCATTCGGTATGCCCTCGTAACCGTGGGCTTGGATGAGATAATAGCTAGAAGTACCCGACTTCTGCTTTATGTACCAAGCTATCCATATTCCTCCGATTTCCTAAGCCTTCCTTCCCTAAAATATCCGTCCATTTCCTTCCTGAATGATTTGGTACCATGTGAATAGCTCCCAAAACCTGATCCAAAAGAAGTTTAAAGTAAAGTAAATCATCAGACGGGAAGCTCCTCAATCTCATATTGTTCGTCGAACCGTCTATTGGCTTCCCTCCTAGCTCTTCTTTCTCGACGTCGTCGATCATCTTCGTCGTGAGTATCTCTTCTTGTTCTCTCATATGAATCATATCCATGTCCATGCCTCGTTCCTCTCGTTTCTCTCCTATCTTCTTCTTCTCTAACCCTCTCCCTTCGATGTCGATATGCTCTTTCATCATCATCCTCCACATCCCTCCGTCTCCTCTCCTCCTCAAACCCTCTCTCACCCCTCCTTTCCCTTTCCCTTTCCCTTTCCCCCTTCTCCTCCCTCTCCTTAACCACCCTCCCCTCCCCCTCCCCCTTCCCATCAAAAAACCCCCCACTCTCAAGCACCTGCTCCATCCCCACCACCGTAGCCGCCGCAGCCATACGACTCTTCCACGGTCCCCCCTCCGTCAACAACGTAGCCCCAATCGCCAACCCCATCATTCCCAACGTCGCCGCTAGATTTTTCGGCGTAACTTTCTTTTTCTCACGACGAGTTTCATGACGAGTATCTCGTCGAGAATGCGAATGAGGATGTGATTTCTCATTTCGAGAACTGTGGTGATGTCGTGACATTTTGATATTGCTTTCGACCTCGGTCTTGATATTGGTCTTGACGCTGTAACCTTAACCTTATCCTTCTGTAAAATCTATCGCTTTTCGACACGCAAAAATCGCAATAAAACCAACCAACCAAACAAACAGCAAGCAAGAACTCTCCAAAAGCGTCCAAAACTACCATCCAAAAGAATCTCACTTCTTCACCCAAAATCTTTCTTTATAAACAAAACCACACTCCGAAGAATCCCACAATCGCCAGCAGACTAAAACAAATGAATCACAAACGCGGCTGAGCCGCCGCAAACCGTTGCCTGACGATCTCGAGTGGATCAAATTTTTGTGGCGGGGGCGAACGCGAACCTATGAATTTTGGCTTATCCCTCACTCTTTCAGGTGTGAAGAATCTTTTCCCTAGGTAGTACTTCGTAAATGTATGACTCTCAGGCTGAAAATCCTCGGTGAGCAGAATGGTGAATGGTTGAATGTGAAATTTATGGGGTTGTGAGTGATAGATACCACCTGGGCATGTGAAGATTTTCGGGGGTGTGGAGGCTGAATATCAGATTTTTTTGCGATAAGAGGTTGTGCGAAGGGTGTAACTTGTGAATTTGTGGATTTGGGTAGGAAGATGGGCGGATTTTATGGAGAGGGTTGTGAAGGATTTGATTTTATGAGACTCAATGAGAGAGGATGCGTGGGTGGAGGAGGGTTGATGGAGGGAATTTGTTTCTTACTCATTTGTTGGGTATCTTGGTATCTTACTTGGATATCTACCTACCTAGGTAGGTAGGTACGTATCGTTGCAGGTTATTCGATATAGGAATAAGACATTGATAGGTAGTATGTGACCCGATTTCATGTACGCGTGATATAATACGATCTCATGATCACGCGACCAAACCTCTCGACTCTCCTTTTCAAGAGTTGATTTGCAGAGGTTTACTGATGTACGTCGTACTCTACCAGAGGATCTTAAATCTTAAGAGGGGTTAAGAGTAATGAATGTACTGAAGAATGTCTATGCATTACCAAAAACATCAGATTTTTGGGACATGTACTACCACGTACCTAGTTTATATATACTTTTATTACTCCACTCGATCTCACCCTATCTCATGCTAACTCCTCTCTACTCGTGCTGCCAGAAAGTATGCAACTCTGACGCTAGATGCACATACCACAAGATGGTAAACTACAAGAGGACTAACCTGGTTTTTATAGCGCCGGAGTTGCATACTTTCTGGCCGCACGAGTAACACTTATTAATGATCTCCCCTTTCCCGCAGCTAGCTGACTAGCTGACGAGCCCTATCCATTATACCCGTGGACCCTTCAACCACACTCTATTCCCCCCATTAAACCCTCTCACCCTTTCATACAAACACATCTCTATCCATTATTCAAACAACGAGTATCTCCACAATCACGAACAAGCTTTAATTAACCTTCTATGTACTAACACCAACCCCAGGCGAAGCTCACGAGCAAATCATCTATTCTCCATTACTCTTTCCAACGTTCTGGCGTTCGCATAACAAACTCTAATAAGAACATCCAAAATTCCCCATGCGGACCCACTCCATCGTGAAAATGGAGTCTTGACTACTTTGTGGCAGCGGTCGTATTCTTTCGTATACCGGTACACCTTCTACTTCGGAATCGTAGGCTGTATGATTACTGATACATCCATCGTATTCTATCCATCCTTATTGATCGGATTCCTAAACCCTTGCACTTCTTTTGATGGCCCTGCTTTGAAGAAGATTAGACATATGGATCCCAACGAGGGGACTCGGTTCAGAGAAGAATGGGACAGGAATCAGTCCCTATCAGTAATTGATTTAACACACTAGCAGTTGTGTTGCCGTAGAAGAGTTGGCAGTACACTCGTATTTTATTGATATATAATTGCATTCCCATTCTACTGAATATCGAATATCGAATATCTCAATCAGTCACTACAATCGTTTACGTCGTCCGACTTTCTATTGTGGATATTGTTCTTTTCAAGTCGTCTTTAAAAATGAAGGGGGCATCTTTAATCAGCACGGTTTTGCTACCCGTGCTATCAGTTAATGCGGTTTACACTTGGCCGTCCGAGTATGATCAACTAGAGGATATTCTTTATCTTCAACAAGGTTATATACGTTTTGGCTTGAGAGATGGTAAGTTTTCGGAAAAGATATTTCAAGTTGATAATGAGAATGAATGGTCTACTAATTTTCGCATCAGGTGTGACGCCGTGCGATTTCTCATCGTCAGGAGGTGGGCGCCAGTCAGCTGCGGAATGGATAAGAACTGCTTATCATGATATGGCTACCCATGATGTAGAGACTGGCCTTGGAGGACTCGATGGTTCTATAGCCTTTGAACTTGGCCGAGCAGAGAACCCTGGTGATGCTTTTAATGCTACCTTTGCATTTACAGAAGACCTTCGCTCAATTAAAGCTTCGTCGGCCGATCTTCTTGCAATGGCCGTTGTCGTTTCTTCAATGGCTTGTGGCGGTCCAATCATTCCATACAGAGGTGGACGAGTCGATGCCATGAAAGCTGGTGTTTCTGGCGTACCCGAACCTGATCAGGATTTGGCGACACACACTGCAATCTTCGCAAAGCAAGGATTCAACACTGCCGAGATGATAACCATGGTGGCATGCGGCCATACTCTCGGAGGTGTTCATGGAGTCGATTTCCCCCAGATTACTGGCGACGGCAGCGAAGAAAACTTTCCAAAATTTGACAGCACCTACACCACGTTCGACAACACTATTGTAACCGAGTATTTGGAGAACAACTCGACCGACCCGCTTGTGATCAGTCAAAATGATACCTTCAACTCCGATAAGCGCATTTTTGGTGCTGACAACAACAAAACGATGACATCTTTAGCAGATCCAACGAATTTCCAAACGCAATGTTCTGACATCTTCGCTCGAATGATCGATACTGTTCCTGCAGACGTCACACTTTCTGAAGTCATCACACCCATTGAAGTGAAGCCATGGGGAATTTCTCTTTTCTTGGCTGGAAATAACACTCTTTCCTTCGGAGGATACATCCGCGTTCGCACCACCAACCGCAACGCCGATGATGTGACCGTATCTCTTCAATACCGTGATCGTAAGAACAACACTTCGACCACTACAATTCCTGCCACTCGAGAACGTTACTTGTTGGGCCAGAGTTATGGCTTCGCTTCAGAGGTCTTCACTTGGTATGGATTCAGCACTGTTCTTGATGCTACAACCGGTATCTCGTCTTTCGATGTCATCTTACATACCGTCGGTGCAGCTGATGAAATCATCACCAATAACGGCGGGGGTTTCCCACTCTCAGACGCCATTTTATACCAACCGGCACAATCCTGTCAGCCACAGGTAGCCGTCAATGACGCAGGCCAATGGAATATAACAGTTACTGCAGCCGTTCGTGCCGATCGTATCAGCGAACCTGTCGCCTTTGACTGGGTGTCTGAACGTGCCATACCAGGAGTGATGGTGAAATCACTAGAAGTGCAACGTACAGCTATGGAGAAGGCGAGTGAGGAAATCGATGGATATTATTTATTCAGCGGAACGAAGTCGATCGATAATGTGCAATGGTCTACCACGTTTGATGTGGTATTGGGAGAGGGAGATGACGTATCGAAAGTGGAGTTCCAGTCGACGTCGGCAATGGCCACGAGCTGTAAGGCATTTTCTTGAATTACGAACTAGTCGAATTTAGTAATGAATGATAGCGAGAATATCTCTTAATGATAAATCAGTTTTTGACCCAATGAGACACTGCTGTAGATTTGAGTTCGCTGAATCGTGATTGTGAGCTTCGAGATATAGTCAGAGCAGGTTAGACAGTATGTCGGACAAAACAATACAGACCAGGGAAGACATGCACGCAGCATCCTGACAATGACAAGAATGCAAGGATTGGTGGATGTATCCAGTAGAACATGCTCAATGTTGTTCGTCATAGTTGTATAGCACAACATTTCCTCGGGCATTAATAACATTCCACAATATAACATCACCTCTCAATTTTGCCTACCATTCCCACAATTCCAAACCGATCGACAATCTTCATATTGCAGACCTTTTCCTTCTCCTCCTCCATGAGTATCCGGTACTTCTCTCCCACATAGAATGGACTCGTAGCTCTATACGTAACCTTTTTGGGCAAAAGTACTGTAAGCTTATCATTCCCTGTGACCCCCTCACTCTTTCCTATAATATGCCTCCAGAAATCAACCATGTGTATCAAGTTCAACGGGCCATGTACGACGCAATCTCGATGTCCCTCAACTTTCCGACACCAGTCCCGGTCATAATGTATTTTATGCGCGTTGAAAGTTAAGGCAGAAAAGCGGAAGAGGGATATTGGTGAATGGGTAATAGTGTGCTCGTATTTGACGGCAGGAACTGGAATGAGGGAAGGGAGTGGCGGAAGGGGAGGGGGATTATTAAAATCAATTGCTTGTCTAAATAGCCAATTTCTGGTTGTATTTTGATTTAGCATATATTATCAACTTCCCAAATTCTCAATTCACTCCTCCAATTGAATGACAACTTCAATGTTCCAACAAGATGATATGGCGAGATGAACTTCACTTACCTTCGATCCACAAGCGCAAGTCCCTTGGAATTCTTGAATGTCTTTTCGACCCCTACAACTATCATCTCATCCCCAGCTTTCGTCTTCTTCACTTCTGCACTCTTCAATGTCGTCGTTTCCTCTGCCTCCTCCCCCGTCACCAGTTTATTCCCATCCACCCATTCCAATTCCCCGCCAGCCCACATTCTCCTTGTAAAAGATCCTGGCGGGTTGAATATCGTATCCGATCCATCAAGCCCCAATTTATCCTCGGCATCTGGTGGTGTGAAATATACTAGATGGTGACAGGGAGGAATGGGAAGGGCATCAGGGCTCGACTCTACTGCGAAACTGGAGGAGGGATCAGACGAGCTATGAGAAGCAAGCGTGGCGCTCAATCGCTGGAGTTGATTTACATCGAGGTATTGTGAGCGGACCAATGGACCATTTGTTGAATGTTCTTTAAGCAGCATAGAGGCCGATGCAGATGCGGTTGCATCTTTTGCGTGTTTGGTCGCCCGAAGGCCATACTTGATGAGTGAGGGTATCATTCTGGATTAAAGAAGTTGGGCTCAGGATGGGGCTCGAGATGGGTGGTTGGTAGGGTTGAGGGTTGAAACTACTAGGCTCCTAGGTAAGCTCTCCAACACCCCGCGTCATCCACGTTAGGTTAGTAGATGCTTAATTTATAGTTTATCTTCGGGCTCTATCGTAGAATCTCCACTAAATAAGAGTTCCGACAATCCACATGGGCCTGGGCAACCGAGGTAACTTTCAATCAACCTCAATTTCAATCACCACTACAGCCACAAGCCCTTTCTTTTTTCCTGGTTAAAAAATGTAAGACTTCTATTATTGTACCTATGGAAAAGCTCTGTATATCCACAACATCTCTATTCCAAATGGATATCCCATATGTTTCATCTGATCTCCAAATATGCACATTGTGGACGCAAAATGTTTTAGACGCAATCTATGGTCTCCGAAAGATACACATGAAACCATAAGGATGTTTTATGTCGAAAAGTACGGGGTTTAAGAATAAACAAATGAATGGCAGTGAAACAACCGAGACAGATAGAAGGCAGATGGATTTGAAATTCAAAAGTATATTCAGGATTCGCGCTATTGCGATTAAAGCTTGCTACTGTACTACACAAAATACCCCCCCATTGGAAAGGTTGATAGATGGATTTGAACGAATGCCCCATAACTCCCCTCCTTGCGCCGAGAAGAATAGATCATCGTGCAAATACCCTCTGTTCCCAAATCGTATCCAAAGTGGAGCTCGAACTCCTCCCCTCGTAACCATCATCCAATTCGTGTCGTGTCAATAAGATTACCATTTCTTGTGTACCACCTGACGAATGAAATCGTGAATAGATATAAATGATGAAGAAAGAAAAAATTATTTAACACATCTCCCTACTTTCCTCCAATCTTTTGATCATCTCTCTTTCCTTAGGACTGCGGGGACTAGCATCAATACCGAGAAGTGCCGAGATACTGGTAGCGTTGTTCTTGATCTCTTGGCTAGGTGATGGCAATCGTTGAGGAGCTTGGCTGTTGTAATGATGATAGCTTGCTCGGTTGAGATTTGGCATGTCTGGGGAGACACATGGGGTTGGTGGTCCATTGGATGCGACACCTTGCTTCCAGGTCTCCTCGAGTAAAAGAGGAGATACACCTCCGCCATACTCGGATGCGATGACGTTCCAGAAAGAGTTGCGATGAGCTTCGTATACACGACGAAGACGTTCTTTGTCAACGCTGGCAACAGTGACTGGGGTGGAAGTCATGACGCAATCGAGACGAAGAGCTTGATCCGATGAGGAATCATTAACTGCGTGTCGAGAAGGGGTTGGCTTTGGGAGAATAGCAATGGGGTGACCAAGAGTTCTAGAAGGGCTGTTGGAAGCTGAGCGGGATAGAAGTGAAGATGCAGATGGGAGTTGAACGTGTTGAGGTGATTGTGGTGAGTAGTTGTAGACAGGTGATATGGCTCGGAGATGGGTAGCCTCATCAATTGGAGATGGCATTCGGAGAGGTAAAGTCGAAGATTCTGAATTGGAGCTACCGGAAGAAGTCATGGAATTGGTACGCTTGCGGCGGTTGCTTCCATGGGACAATTGATGATAGTGAAGACGGCAAGCCAATTCAGTCTTCTTCAAATGAGAAGCGATATGCTTGTAAGGCATTTTCTGAAGGCGAGTTTGAAGAAGATAAACTTCCTAGAATAAATTGGTTAGTAAGTTTTCTTATTGGAGGTTTCTGTTTCATTCATACCTCATCCTCGCTCCAAGCTCTGCCGCCACCAGTGGAAGCCGTTTTACGGTTCTTCTGGATGCCATATTCGTGTCGTTGGGCTACGTCGACTGGAACGTATGTGGATGATGCCACTTGGGTGTTCATTTGGTTTGAAGACATGATGATAGTCGTTGATTGATGATAAATTGAAAGTATATTGTGTAAAAGATGGTTGAGCCGGCAATCGAAGAATCGAAAATGTTGTTAAAAGTTGGTATAGAATATAATCTTTGTCAAAAAGTCGGAATAAGATAAGTAAAAACAGGATATAACTACAATAAAGAATGTAAGGCAGCCAAACCAGTTGGTGAAGAAAGGAAAGTAAATATTAGCTGCGAAATAGGTAGTCACGTCAAGTGTAAGGAAAGAAGAGGAAAAATTGAAGAGCAGCACGTTGGGTATTATATGAAGAACCAACTTGGTCGTCTGGAATATCGATAAAACCAAGTTCAGTAACCTCTGAGGTTCAAAACCATCTTACAGGGAACGACGAGTAGTCGATGGAATCACAGTTTCTGATTGCGCATGGGTAGAGTTGCATATCTCTATGAGTTTTCATCCCGTTTCTGCATCAAAATAGTGTTTCTTAGGTACTGGGGTAAATGATGTAAATCTCTGTTTGACGTTTGAGGCGGGGTCTCAAGTACGATGACCTTGATGACATTCAAAACCTGCGTCGATATTTCATGGGAGAACTCTCCCAGATGGCCATCGGAAATTGAAATCTCCGCAAACGCAAACTTCTGGATGGTTGAGTTTGTACATACGGCCCATGCGACTTCGCAACGAGGCGTTTTCTCATGGCAACATCAAGATGGGCAATGTAATTATTGCAATGGACGATTTCTGCAATGTTACAAGACCTGGAGGGGTCGAGGGGGAAGCGAGTTTCGAAGAGTTTCGTACCGGGATTATGGTGACCCTCATTGACCCTCGAGCCACCGATACCAAGGACTTTAAAATTCTTATCTCACTTATCCCTCCTGGGAAAAAAGCTTCGAATGCATGAATAATCGTGGAGATGGGACGTAAATAAGACCAAAGTTGGAACAATCGCCGCGCGCCTCGGTGATCATGCTTGATATTCCAGTGTTTGGACCATTTAGAACCGTTTGGAGTGGCTCAGTAGTACGACGCAATTTGCCCTACACAACAAGGAGAAGAGCAACCAAGAACTGCTAGCAAGAAATGACAGGTCAGGAATAGGAACAATTAATGTCAAAATAGAATAGCGTCATTAAATTTGTCGTCGCACCGCACAGGCACAACACTATCTATCCTTAGCTGAGGTACTAAGAAACGTTGTGTTGACGCAAAGCAATGGGGCTCGCAGGAGATACTACAAACGTGCTCTCCAACATTCTCTCTAATCTGCATTGAGCGTAGAAATACTAAGAGGTCGAGAGGTTGGTTGATACTGAATACAAGTGGACAGTCAGTTCGATTAGAGTCTGAAATTAATGAAATATCTCTGCATAAGACGTTTCGAGGTATTTTGAGATGTGATAATGAAGCTATTGAGAACTTTTCATGTCAGATACTCGAACGATTGATTCGATTTTTTTTCATCGTTCGTCTCAAATCATGTAAGATACTTGAATTTCCAAATTGAAGCAATACAAGTGTTGGAGAAAGAGATTGGCCAGTGTCCGGAAGGATGAGCGTCCGATCTTTTGGTGAGCTCGGTGAGGTGACATTCCACCAAAAAGGTGTGTACTGACGGCCCGTACTGAGTCCTGACTTCCTAATACATACCTCCCCCCTGCTAGATAGGTCTACTTAATTAGGGGGTAGTTAGGGGGTAGGTGGGAGGTAATCGATCACCAAGACATCAAGGGTTCTAATTCTGACAGCCACAACAGCCCTATAAGGAAAGTAAGTAACGGGAAAGTCTAATCATGGATGTTGTTAGTGTATTTGGGTTAATATGCTTAACTTTCAATGGATACACTTGTATGAGTCGTATCTGATTCTGATCATCAAGGGTCGGAAAGTTTAGACTCAAAGGGTATGATGGAGAGTCTAAAAACATGAAAACTGGACTAATTGGGGTTTACTTTTCAGATGAAGGGGAAAAGTCGTTAATCAAACCTTGTCACCTGAGCACTTATTTGGAGTAGATGCTCGGTAGATAGGACCTACTTGAGCACCCCGGCCTACCTTGAATTGAACATTGGTACCTTTAGAGTGGCTTTTAACCTTCCAAGGTTGTTATCATCAACGGATCATTCGACCCTTCTTCTTCTACTACTACGCTATACGTACCTAGGTGCTACGTAATATCTACTTTATCCCTTGACTACCTACCTACATATACGATGATATACACACCAATACATGCATACGAGATGCGATACCAAGAACGGATAATGAATCGCCTAACTACTCGTACATAGCACACATTAACGCTTGTTATTCTAAATTGTTCGACTTGGCAAAGTAGTCACTCTGAAATGGGATTTGAGCAAGTATTGGATGAATATGGTGGCGTGGCCTCAAACAAAGTCGATCGAATTCTGTCACTCGTTATGTCTCGAGGTCATCGCATGAAAAGAAAGAGTTTTCATAACGGTGAAGGAGTATAATATCAGGTACATGACCCTACTTTGGTAAGCAAGAACATCTCACCAGTAAGAATGTCTAAAAATGCTCGGAGGATAAACTGTTAGCTTATTTATGCGCCTGGTGCGCTGTTGTACTGCGGTTACGACGTTCTGAGATGTAATGATTTGTTGGTTAAGGTTCATTTGAAGACATGTTGTGTTTTGATTTTCTAAATCCTATCATCATTTCTACTCCGCAAATCTCCACCATGGAACAATTAGAAACTTGTTCTATCTTTCCCCCTCTTTCGCCCCCAATTTGTCGGATTCGACCCATCCGAGTCGAGGGGTCATGTAGAGCGCATCGAAATGAAAGGAATCAGAATGACAATCAAGACACTATTTGTGATAATGTGGTTAGAACTTTGTGACACATATCACGTGAAAAACACGTGCGCATACCAACCATTCCTCTTTTTTCTTCCTCTCGGATTTCAATGTTGATGCAATCCAGAAGATGGTCGGATGTGAGTGGCCAGCAGACTTTTCCTCCGAGTATTATTCCATACCTAGGTAGTTTTACAACTATGGCTAGGTGCAGATATGCCAGGATTCATACGCCGTTACTTTGGTTAGCCAAGATCATGCATGTATCCGGAGGTATTCAATTTGACAGTCTCACTACAGTTCATTGTTCACGAGGTATACTTGCTTAACTTCCACAATATAGCCGTCAAGAAGGGCAGAGTCACGAGTCCCCTTGTTTGATGGAGAAACAAACTAGTAGAATCGACCATCTCAAACTTCGGAGGAACCCAAGGGGTTGTTACTTTGGAACATCAAACAAAACAAACGAACGAAAAAAGCCGTTTGAACAGGAAACTACCACCTCAAGGTTTTCCTCAATAAGTAACACCTGTCCGCTCTTGACCCCCTTCGAGATCCCCTTGAAACAAAACACATGGAGCTAAAATTGTTTGTTTGCTCTAGTCTTACGCTTTTTTCTTTTCTTCCCAGAGCCCAAATCCAGAACTATCCATCTCCTGAAGACAATCCAAACGGTCGGGTCCACCATTCATGTTGTTGGGTATATGAATCCCAACCACTCTTTTCCAATCACGGCCCGAGGATCCCGTTTATCATCCAATAACCGGCACGGAAGTGTCAACGAGTCCATGTACCGCTTTTCAATTCATTTTGCATTTAAAATTTGAATATCATGTCGGCGAATGCCTGGTGCGGGCTGCGGCGAAGCAACCCCAATTTCGAATCATCGGGAACGCCTTGCAGTTGATAGCCAACATTTCTACCATTCACAATGATCTCTTTGCGCCGTTTACCTTGGCCTCATTATTTGATTGCATTATCAAGGTAACCCAAAGGTCATTCCTTGTACTGTACATACGGAGATATATGTAATTGATGTCAAAGGATTGAAGATGCACAATGCTGTCAGATTAACCAAACATTGCCAACTTGATGCCTCGTACACGCATGGACCTGCACATGGATTTTCAATTAATAAAGGGACGGAAACCAACCTAGGGGGGAACAGAATTAAATAGGGGAGGTTCCACGAAAGGTGACGGACCAATTCATATTGATCAAATAGTGACAACAACTCAAGCCAAGATCTGGATGAGAAGGAAGAAGTGCGATAGCCTCGTCTAGAACTCGAATCCTCTATACACCGCTTTGATTTCAAGGTGTTGATACGAGGACAGTGATTAGGTACTGGGATATTTCCAATGATCTGAGATATACTCCCATCACACATCTTCTAGCTTGAAAGCAATATTGATTAATACGTCTGGTACAGGAATGAGTACAGAGAAACCATGGCACATTGGCAGGAGAGTGGATTGATCGATAAGCTCCAAGATGATAATTTCATTTGTCGATATGCTTCTAAACTAGGTAGATTGCGAGATGTATGGGATATTGTGCTAAATGTTGCATACCCCGCAGCTTTCGGTTCTACTTTAAACGACAGGACAGCTCTTCAACCATTCAGATCTCCCCTCTGACAAGCATCATTTATCAACCTCCAATCAGGAAATTGATATTCCCACCATTACATGCATCTTACTACTGCACATCGAGCTGAGTCAAAGCAACCAAGCAAAAGCCGGCAGAAAATGTATCACGATGACTTACTTCTCTCCGGGGTCAAGGAAAATTATGAAATGCAATTGACTTTGCATCCTCTTCACCAACAACCCACGTTCATCCCCTGCCCAGTGTAACCAAAGCGCCGGAGAAAGACGAAAGAGTTTGGGGGCAGGTCGAGTTTCCTCATCTTTGATACCTAGGGATGACTTCTACAGACCCTTGTATTTGGTGGTAGCACAAAGGTTTACAATAAACGCAGACGTGGATCTGACGATCTTTCCACTAGGAAAAGACATGGATGATGACCATTCATGTATGCTCATTCTCTCACCCTCCTCATCCACACCACTTGTCAGCCTGTTTTTGCAATTCGAGCCAGCCATTCCCCTTGACCTTCCGTCCTCGCAAGCCGCGCTGGAAATGAGAAATCCAGAAGTATGCTTGGGCTAACGAATATATATTAATACATGGCCAATACTTGAAATTATGGAGATGCATCTCAGGCTCTTGTAGTGTGTGCGATAGAACTATGATTGGCACTTCAGCCGCTCAAAGTCACTGCAAGGACGGTTGGTATCGTGTATGTACCGTGGCCCGATCGTAGACAGGCATATTTATTATTGTTTCTTCCGGCTTCTATTCCTTGTCCACATGTCATGTCCTTGGAACATGTACCGAGGATACTTAATGTCTGGATGTGGCCGCCCCCCTCTAGTCATCAGATCACACCTATAACAACAAAATTCCCCATCATCAAACTTCACACGAAATCTTGCTTGTCACACAATATTAGATGAATGGGCCATCAACTATATCATTAACATCTCCACTTCCCCAGACGCCTTACAGGTTGTCCTAGGATCCGAAGTGGTGCCAAGCGCTTCCAACGGTCTTCGGCAAGATATGCAAAGAAAGGGATGTCAGCCCTGTTGACTACAATCAAACGTTCCCAAGTACATGAGAACGTAAGTATCTTTGTATCTATACCCCAGCCTCACACGGTGATCTTATGAACCAATCCACACGCGAGCCTGCAGCTCCCTCCGACACCTCTCTCGCGCAACAACCACCTAAAAACTTCTCGAACCTTCCCGACCTCGAAGATTTCTCTGCATTCTTTACCTTTCCCGCGCACTCACCCCCGACCATCCATCCAATGTCTAAGCGTGTAGATAGACAAGAAATCGATCCTAACGCGAGCTTTCAACTCTCACATAATCACCCATCGACTACCGACACGTCTACCCTCAAATCCGAGATTCCTTCGCCAGCTAGCTCGCGAAATAAGAGACGCGCCACGGGCCCTGCAACGGCAACGAATACTTCGGTTTTCAATATGCAGGCGGGTTCATCTATTGCAGGACCTTCTTCGGCGGGTTTAGATGATCCCAATATGGCCTCGTCGATGGCACCACCTGCTAAAAAGAGTCGTACCAATACTCCTTGGACACCTGCTGAAGAGCAGAGATTGAAGAATATGAGGGATGCAGGTAATAGCTGGGCGGATATTGCAAAGGTGAGATCAGATGAAAGTCTACTTTGAAGTGACCCAAACAGACTTTTCATGTCAAGTCGCACAAAGCCTGGAGACGAAGCTAAGACCTGAAATTTGTGTTTGTAGACTTTCCCAGCAAGAACTGAAGGAAGTGTTAAGAAGCACTGGTACAAGGTAAAGATATACTTTCATTCTCATCATTTTCTCCCCATACATCTGTCTCGCTAGTACGAAAGTAGTATGGGGTGGTTGTTATATGACATAGACTAATAGATTTTTAGGACATGCATTATGCGGAATTCGCGGAAGATGAGGTACGTTCTATCTTTGCAGCATATCATGCATATGGTACGTGCTGATGCTCAAATAGAGTCAGGCTTTGCTCGCGGCCATCAAGGATTACGAGGCGAATAAGTGGAAGGCTATTGGACAGAAAGTTGGAAAACCCGCCAAGGTAAGCTTTTATTTCTTGTTGTGGTTTGACTTTTGTATCTGGGACATCTCGTCTTGAGAAATACTGGTCTTGGATACGAATATGTATCTGTTGAGATGGAGACACTAGTATCGATACACTAAATAACCCATAACTAATCAAGCTTCCTATCCGTCATCTAGGCTTGCGAACAGTACGCCAAAGATAATTTTGGCGGGAAAATATAAGGGGGGCGCTGGATGGAATCGGGTGGGATACTTTTGGCGTGCTATTTTTTTTTCTCTCTCCTTTTTTTTTCGTTTCTTCTTCAAAATATTTCATTTCGGTACATGGCTTCGGAAGGAAGTACAGGATGTTGGCTTGGGTATTGGATTGGCTCGGCTCGGCTCTTGGTTTGATATCATTTGGTTTGAGGAGAAAGTAATCTTAGCTTATTTTATATGTACAAGCTTGCATGGATGTTTATTTGTCCATTGAATTTATGTTGATCTTTTCGTGCGCTTCTGTCTTTTTGGGTTTGCAACTTCTATGCTTGGATTGGATTGGATTGGGTTGGCTTGGTGGGTTTATTGCATGATTGGTGGATGGGTGGATGGTGGATGGATGGATGGATCGTGGATGGATGGTAGGATGGACGGATCATGGTTGGAAAGAAAGGCGCGTTTCTATATCACTATTAAGGCGTTTGAATAAGAGCTCCTCTCATCTCATCTCCTCTCATCTCCTCTCCTCTCTCTCCTCTCTCTCCTCTCTCTCTCTCCTCTCTCTCCTCTCTCTCCTCTCTCTCCTCTCTCTCCTCTCTCTCCTCTCTCTCCTCTCTCTCCTCTCTCTCCTCTCTCTCCATGGCGTATCTTTGATCTGACCGGCTTGATATCTTTCGCTTCTCGTCTCTTTACTTTGGATTCTGGATTCTGGAAATGAATTTTTTCTTGGGAGTCTGTGGTTGGAGGTTCTTGGGCTGGACTCTGGAGAGTGTTTTATATATATATATATAAATATCTTTAGTTTCTCTTTTTTGATCTCTTTTTTGATCTATCTTCTGAATTATCTCCTAACTTGTACCTTTCTTTCTTTCTTTCTTTCCTTTCTTCCATTCTTCCTTCTTTTTCGTTCTTTTCCTCACCTACATACCCACTTCCTTATCATCCACTCCACAACATTCATTCATTCATCCCAAACAACCGAGTTTGAACTTTAGAATCTTTGAGTAAGTGGGTTTGAGGAGATGAGGTGGTGAGGTGGTGAGGTGGTGATGGGATTGGAGGGTGGGATTGGATAGATTGAATAAGGTAGGGAAGGGCAGGGAAGGGTAGGATGTGTAGTTTGTATTGTGTAGTTTGTATTGTGTGGGATGTGGGATGGGATGGGATGGGAAGTGTGAAGTGTGAAGTGTGAAGTGTGAAGTGTGAAGTGTGAAGTGTGATGTGAAGTGTGAAGTGTGAAGTGTGAAGTGTGAAGTGTGAAGTGTGAAGTGTGAAGTGTGAAGTGTGAAGTGTGAGTTTTGAGGTTTGAGATTTGAGGTTGGAATGGAAGGGAATGGGAGGCAAGGGAAGGGAGGAATGGAAGTTGGAAGAATAGGAGAATATAATAAATGAAATTTCAGCATTAGCATGGAGGATGGAGTAGGATAGGATAGGATAGGTACCATATAAATAAAAGAATTAAAAATGGAAAGACGTTTTGGTATATATGTATTTACTTGTATGTATTTATGTATGATTCGAGGTGTGCTTGAAATAGGTAGGTGGGTATAAGTAGGTAGGTTTGAGTTTTATTGTATTGTATTGTATTGTATTGTGGTGTGAGGTGAGGTGAGTTGGATTAGGGTTGGAACGAAATGAAATTGAAGTCTTGTTTGTAAGATTAGCTTGAGGAATTTGATGAGGAAGGGGGGTTTGGGTGGATGGATAGAAGTATATATGATATCTATCAGGAGAGGAAGATGTGGAGAGATTGGAGGGAGTTGATGGATTGCTAGATTATCTATTGCGAAACTGGGCGATGGGGAAAGAGATGGTATCTATGATGAGTATGTGGTACATATGTAGGTACATAGATACATACATATATGGTATAACATACATACCTAGGTAGTCTGTCCGACATAATCTCGACTCGTGTAGTCTAATCTAGTCTCACCTCGAGAGTATCGATAATCTGGAACTAGAGGATGTTTATGTGCTACCTACGTGTGGTTATATTTGTACTTGTTTGTTAGATTAGGTGTGAGTATTTGTTGGTTAGTTTAGGTATGATATGGGTATTTTGGTATAATAGTAAATAGTTGTCTAATCAGTATCAGCTGGATATGGGATATAGGATATAGGATATGGGATATGGGATATGGAATATGGGATATGGAATATAGGATATGGGATATGGGATATGGAATATGGGATAGATGTAGATATACATGTATATGCATTGGGTATGTATGTATATATGTGTAATTTGTATATCTAAAGTTTTGATACCTATCAAACTATAATCCTATACTTTTCGGGATATTGTAATATACGGTATTATAGGTATCTATCTATCTATCTATCTATTCACCTATCTAACTCCAATAACGCAAACCTACTTGGATAGGTATATATATGTATATGTATATATGTATATATGTATATATGTATATATGTATATATGTATCATCCAAGAACATGGATTCGCGGGTTCCTGATTTAATTTCATTTCATTTCATCTCATCTCATATCTCATAAGTCATCTCATCTCATCTAATTTTTATGATCATCTGACTACATAATATATAGTAAGGAGAGTGAGCGTACAAGTACCTAGATAGATAACATCAATCGCGTGCCGCGCCGTGCCGTGTGGTTAGTTTGTACCTGGCTAAGCTAGTATGATCTGGAGATAAGATTGAGGTAGGGAGTTGGTGGGATTTGTGTTTGGTGTACGGAGCATGGGTATGAATGGATTGCTGAGTGGATGGATGGATGGATGGATGTTGTGATGATTTGGTGAGATAGTTGTGGATTTGGATATGGAATCTGATGGTGAATATGAATATGGATATGGATATGGATATGAGAGTGATGTAAAGCGTAAGGCTGATGAATGGATATTGTTTAGTAGGTACTAGGTACTTGAAGAAGGGATTGATGATAATTGATAAATTATGATTGTAGATGATATTTATTGGGTAAAAAGATAATCTTGGCATAGAGAGGTACGCAATGGATACTGTTGTTATGTACATCGTAAATACCACATCGATGTCTTGAATCGAGGGCTACAGTAATACATTGTCCTTCTCGAGAGAAATTGTTGTCTACCAAATATGTTTATTAGCGGTATATGTATATCAACAAAATTACCTATGCTCTCTTGTATCACACATGATGTAATACGATACGAAGATCACTCACTTCTCACTTCCCCAGAACCATTGAAGATATACTTTGTACAAATTCCTCAACGCGGTTATTGACAGAACAATTTCAACGTTCGTGTCCACATGTTTTCTTTTCTTTTTTCCTTCTTCGTGATCTCGTGGGGAGGGATTTTCAGGGGTTTCAAGGGACGATGTAGTAGGTAAGGTTAAGCGCTTTTAATAAAGTAAGTCAAAAATCAAAAGAAAAGGTTCTCCCCGGAATTTGAGTGGAGTTTGATGGGGGAAAGTGTAATTGCGTATTTATGTACCGTTGTATGTTGGTTAGATAGGTACTATGTAGGTAGCTACCTAGTATGTATGTCAAATTGTGAATCAGATTGAAAGCTAAGGATTAACTTCTTTGAGGTTTCATGTTGTTGTTGTTGTCATGTGATTTTGATGTTTTGATGCTTTGATTCTATGAATACCTATGTTTCTACGGTTCTATGTTTCTATCATCTATGATTCTATTTCTGTCATAAATTCACAAGTAAATCTTGTCATTCAAATACGAGGGATATTTCCAAGTTACCTACATCTATCTACCTTACTCATACATACCATTCATTCATCAGCACTACCATTCCTATTTCAATCCCTCCTTCGTATTCCCTTCATGGCCACAGAATGATTCAAAAGGACTCACCCTGTATTGGCTTGTCCTTCCACCCAATTCGCAACACTACCAATGGGTAATCGCCCCGATTGTGCAAGTCTGTTATTTCTTCTTCATTATTTGCCTCCCTCCTGGAGTGTATGCATGTCGAGTACGAGATTCTCCATATTTACACGTGCTGTGATTGGAAGATGGATGAATGGGATGATGTGAACACTCCACATTGGTCATGCTGAATGATCCTCCCAGCCCACTCTTTCGCAAAATAGAAATCTCCTAGTGGTGACTAGTCGGGACGGTGCGGAGGATATGCAGATCGAGGTTAGGGCGAATTGGGATTGTGGTCTGGAGGGAGGGATGGAATTAGATTTGGAGAGTTTTGCTCCGTACAAAGTGCACACTCCCGATACTACTAGACTGTGCTTTGCTTTGCAGAATGGAGAACCTCGGGTGAAGGAAGCTAAGGGCGTTAGATATATGAGGGTTGATTGGTTGAAACTCTCTTGTGAATTGAGAATTTCCGTGGCGATTATGCTTGGTATACCTAGGTGGGTGTCGTGAGTTCTTGAATGTTGAGTATGTATTGAGTATGTATTGAGTCGTAAGTCTTGATCTTTGCGGCTTTAATAAGACTGGAGCGAAGTAAAAAAGGGATCAAAAAGATCAAAACAACCAAAACTAGCACCAAACCCGTTAATACATGTAAATCCAACACAGCCAGCCGTCTTTCAATCCCTCGTCCTCTGTCAAAATACTCGAGGTACTCCATACAATGTCGAGCACTACCCACCTAGTAGTTAATAAAATAGTCACCACCATGGATATTGCATGGATGAAAATAGAAAATAACCCAGAACTCCCTCTCCGTAGACCCTCTTTTCCTGGTCTTGTCCTCCTTAAGCTTGTCTTCCCCATTCAAATACCTCTTTCTCCCTTTCCTTCCCCCCTATCCCACTTCTTTCTCCAACTTCTTCCATTATTTCCAAAAGTACGTAGGTAAATCAATAAAAGTATTCACGACATCATTCGTTATTCGTCGTTGAGTCTTTATTGTTCTCTGGTCATTTGTCTGCTCAATCACATTCGCTTGGGAATCCATTCTTCCATTACACTACATCTGCCAAGCACGCAAGACCAATTTAATAATCTTTCCATTTGGAAGAATTTCATGGGAAGGAACCGTACGAGGAACAGTTAGACGCACATAAAACGGTCGACCAACAGATTTTATATCACGACAAGGAAAGAATTTGGGACTCTGGGATTTCGCGGGGAACTATAAATTTACTCCTCAATTTTCGAACGAGAAATTCCATCACACCCAGCACATGCTTATTATTCACTCGACACGGAGATAATTTAATTGCAATAAGCCGTTAACCTTACACTTTGATCGTGGACCTTTTATATTTCTTTCCCTGTTCATCGTACACTTCGTACTACCTCAAGGCGCCTCGATATCGCCAATCGCTTCGATATCCATTTGGGCGGTTCTCTTTTTTGACTTCTGCATATACATACACATACATATACATACAACATGGTTGGAAAATCAACATTATTGACCGTCCTGGCCTCAGCCTCGGTGGCGTTCGCTGCTTGCAGTCTCGACAGTCATTGTCCTGAAGAAACTCCATGTTGCTCTCGTGAGTCTGCTCTCAAAAGTACAAGGATAAATATGGAAGGTTGAACTAACA